AAGACCTACCTTCCCACATTTGTGTTTACCTGCTTGTTTTAAATTTTCTAGCCAGCCGAATAGATGAAGGCAATAATCACTGTACATTCATATAGATGGGTATACCATCATGCTTCTAAGAAATAGCTTTCTCCTGAAGGCAGAATTCTGCTGCTGCCTGTTCTTACAATCCAAAGAAATTAAAGGAATTTTCTATCCAAATGTGTACTGACTCTCCAAGTTTATTGAATTTGAGTGTTGACTCAAGATATGGGTATCAAACCAGCCTATTTCTATGAAGCACATTAGAGTAACTACCAGCCTGTATCAGCCTGTTCAGATATTTGAAGGAGAATAAAAGGAATCTACAAGTTTAGATGAGCTTTTATGGAAAATGTAAATGATTTGAGAATATTTATAAAGCAGTGTGGTACAGTGAGAACACTGAACCCGATTCAGATGATCTCAACTCCAGTCTCCATTATGCCACGAAAAGGCTGTGAAGCCAGTGGAAACCCAAGGAATACCTAAAACTATTAATTTTGTTATTTATAAAATGGGAACAATATATTTTTGACAAGGTTATTATTGGAATTAAGTGAGATTGTATGTATAAAGGTCATTTAGACAGCATAAATGAACATACTGTATAATGTAAGGAGTCAAATTAGATAAAGCATGTCCCTCTCTACTTTTCCTACCTAAAATCTATAGAAAGAACAGAGAAGAGACCCTTCAAACCCACAGCTCCTCCAGGAAACAAGAAAAAGATTCAATAATGGTCCAGAAATTTGGAGGAGGCCCCTGAAAGACTAAAAGCTGGTAGGATCAGATTAATAAAATAAGCCACACTTCAGAGCTTATATATGAAAAAAAAAAAAGTAAATGAAAAAGGGTAGAAGGAGTTCTATATATTTAGAATTAAGAATTTAAGGAGCAGAAGGAGTTTTTATAAGAACGATTTGGGGTACTGGCTACTAAACAGCATTCAGAGTATATTGGCAGATAAAGCTCTCCCCAACTTGTGCTAAGCAATCCAAAACAAAGTATTTGTTTCATGAACAGGACAGTGCAAGAACTTGGAGCAAAGACATCACAGACAGTTGCTCATATTCGTCTTGAATAGGGATTCTCCACTCCTGAAAATGGACACTTCATTCTGACAATTATCTTCTCTTCTGCCACAATCATAAAAGCAAGCTATGCAAACCAGAAACAGCATACTTTACCAGGTGAACAGAGATAGCAAGTACAAAGAAAAACACAACAAAGCAAGAAAGCATTAGCCTGAATAAAAGGCATACAACTCAACGTATAGAAGAGCATTTTTCAAGCTTAAAAGTGCCTGATGATATTTTTTTAAAAAAAACTTCAAAGGAAGGCTGATGACTATCTTTTTAGAACCAGATCAATGAAAATAAACCACAACCCAGAGCTTAAATATGTGGAAAAAGGTAAAAGAAAAGAGATAGGAGGAGTTTTGAGACTTCTACATGTTTGGAATTAAGAAACATAAGGAGCAGAAAAATCATTTGGGGTCTGATCCTAATGCAGTTGTGACTTTAAATTGAAACCAACACTCATTTACCATTCTGAAAATTCTAGGGCCCTTAAGAATGATGCTAAATCTATTCTGTATGCTAGAAATAAAACAATGAAGTTTGTATGTCACCACAATCTCTTTGCTCCATGGTTTACTGAATATTTTAAGCCACTGTTGAGACCTACTGGTCAGAAAAAAAAGATCTCTTGCAAAATATCACTGCTCTTTTACAATGCACATAGTCACCCAGGAGCTGTGATGGACCTATGCAAGGAGATTGATGGTGTTTTTCTGCCTGCTAATACAACATTCTTTCTTCAGCCCATGAATTAATGTGTAATTTTTATTTGCACATTTTATTATTTAAGAACAGACACTTCTCAAAAGAAGACATACGTGAGGCCAACAAACATATGAAAAAATGCTCATCATCACTGGTCATCAGAGAAATGCAAATCAAAACTACATTGAGATACCATCTCACGCCGGTTAGAATGGCGATCATTAAAAAATCTGGAGACAACAGATGCTGGAGAGGATGTGGAGAAATAGGAACACTTTTGCACTGTTGGTGGGAGTGTAAATTAGTTCAACCATTGTGGAAGACAGTGTGGCGATTCCTCAAGGACCTAGAAATAGAAATTCCATTTGACCCAGCAATCCCATTACTGGGTATATATCCAAAGGATTACAAATCGTTCTACTATAAGGACACATGCACACGAATGTTCATTGCAGCACTGTTTACAATAGCAAAGACCTGGAACCAACCCAAATGCCCTTCGACGATAGACTGGATAGGGAAAATGTGGCACATATACACCATGGAATATTATGCAGCCATCAAAAACGATGAGTTTGGGTCCTTTGTAGGGACATGGATGAACCTGGAAACCATCATTCTCAGCAAACTGACAGAAGAGCAGAAGATCAAGCACCGCATGTTCTCACTCATAGGCGGGTGTTGAACAATGAGAACACATGGACACAGGGAGGGGAGCACTACACACTGGGGTCAGTTGGGGGGAAATAGGGGAGGGAAGTTGGGGGGTGGGAAGCTGGGGAGAGATAGCAAGGGGAGAAATGCCAGATGTAGGTGATGGGGAGGAAGACAGCGAATCACACTGCCACGTGTGTTCCTATGCAACAATTTTGCATGTTCTTCACATGTACCCCAAAACCTAAAATGCAATAAAATAAATAAATGGAAAAAAAAATGCATTTGTTACAGCTATAGCTGCCATAGATAATGATTCCTCTGGTGGATCTGCGTGAAGTAAATTGAAAATATTCTGAAAAAAAATTCACCATTCTAGATGAACATTTGTAATTTATGGAAGAAAAAATATCAACATTAACAGGAGTTTGGAAGAAGGCAATTCCAACCCTCATGGATGACTTCAAGGGGTTCAAAACTTCAGTGGAGAAAGTAGCTGCAGAAGTGATAGAAACAGCAAGAGAACTAGAATTAGAAGTGGAGCCCAAAAATGTGACTAAATTGCTATAATCCCATCATAAAACTGTCACCGATGAGGAGTTGCCTTTTATCAATGAGTGATAAAAGTGTTTTTTGAGGTGGAATCTATCCCTGGTAAAGACAGTGTGAACCTTATTGAAATAACAACAAAGGATTGAGAATCATATAGAAACTTAGCAGATAAATCAGTGGCAGGGTTTGAAAAGACAAGACTAATTTTGAAGGAGGTTCCAACATAGGTAAAATGCTACCAAACAGCATCACATGCTATGGAAAATTTTTTTGTGAGCGGAAAAATCAATCACGGCAGCAAACTTCATTGTTGTCTTATTTCTAAAAATTGCTACAACCACCCAAACCTTCAGTTGAAAAATTAAATAGAGCTGATAGATTTAGCTCAATAAACCTACAAGAATGCAATGTAGAAGGGCAACAAAGAATATGTGGGGCAGAGCTAGAAGACAACAAGGATGATGCAGAATTTTTCACTGCTGTCTAGTAATAGTTCCAGAAGTAGAGCATGGAAGAAACTGAGGCAAGAATAGAGTTACAGATACACAGAAAAAGCTTTCCACAGATGAAGGAGGCCCAAGTCTTCACATTCAAAGAATAAGTGCTGAGCATGATGATTTAACCAAGATCTACACCTTCAGGTACTAAGGATATAAAGTAAATGCTAAAAGTCTTGAGAAAGAAAATATATCTTATCAATCAAGGATTGAAAAATAAGACTGTGAACCAAACTTTTTATTGGCAGCACTGAATGTTAAAAAAAGAAAGGAACAATTAACTTCCTCATGCTGAGAACACAGAATTTTGAATCTATAGCCTTAGACGCACTCTTTCTATGCTCAGAATTTCATCATCTACCTAATATGAAGACCTAAAGAACAAAAGGTGAATCCAACAGTAAATCTGGTTTGAAAAGCAAGAAATTCAGTAAATCTTAAGTCTAAATAATTAGTGATACATAATGTAAAATTAGTAGCATTTGAATAAGAAATCATAATTTATTTTAACATGGAAGTTCTCAGCAAGAAGTAAAGTCACAATACATATTTTGTTCATATTTTTGGAAGAAAATAGATACCAATTAAATGAAGACATAATAGAGAAATATAACTACATCACTGGAAGTTCTTCTCTAACTCTTCAAATATCCCATCCCCAGTCCCTAAAGCAGAAATTTTTATCCTCTTGGAGAAGTTCTGGGAAATTGTTTTAGAAATGTTCTAGAAAGCTTTATAAAATGTTCTGTCATTCAACCCACTCCAAATTCTCTCCACAGAACTGCGTTATCAATTAAGAGCTATAGGTCCAGTGTCTGGAACCCATAAATATGTTAAAACTGGGGGGAAAAAGCGCTTTTTCCAAAAGAAGAAAGCTGCAAAGCTGAAATTTTAACAAATATGTAACCATATGCTTAAAAGCATTTCATATATTAACTTTATTAATTACTAAATGTGATATTAAAAATTACTTTTAGAAACAATTTATACATTAAGTTTTTTCATTTCATCAGAATATCTGACTCTGTATAACAATTGCCAAGAAATCATAGCTAAGCATAAATTTTAGAATTTATTCAGGGCTAAATGCTTTCAGAACCAAAATCTCAAAAGCATTTTGAAGATTATTTTAAAAAATTGTATCTACATTATAAATACATATCAGGTAGTATGTTTAAACCCATTTAATTTGCATAAACGTCCTCGTAAATAAAGATTGCCAGGGCCTGCAAAGATTATTTATTTATTTATTTATTTGAGATAGAGTCTCACTCTGTTGCCCATGCTGAAGTGCAATGGCATGATCTCAGCTCACTGCAACCTCCACCCCCTGGTTCAGCAATTTTCCCGCCTCAGCCTCTCGAGTAGCTGGAATTACAGGCACCCACCAGCATTCCTGGCTAATCTTTGTATTTTTAGTAGAGATGAAGTTTCACCAAGTTGGCCAGGCTGGTTTTGAACTCTTGACCCCAAGTGATCCACGTTCCTCAGCTACCCAAAGTGCTGGAATTATAGACGTGAGCCACAGAGCCCAGCTGTGAAGGTCTTGCTATAACCTCATGGTGGTTTATCTGATTCATGATGCTGGGTAGAAGCTATTATCGGCTCTGTTACAGCTAGAAGTTGCTCATGCTCTCTTTGCTTTCTGCTATTGTTAAACATTCCTATTTAACTATGAGGTTAGCTCAACTGGGCAACCTCCTTTCTGCCTGCTCCTCTTGCTACAGGTGGATATATTCAATTTGTAGGAGAGAATGAGAAGCCTTGTTTCATCCTCAGCCTCAGTTTCTTCTCCAATCCACTTTAAATTTCTAACAAGATTCTATGTCTGTTTCTTGGTGAGCCCAAAATCTAAAGAGGAAAAAGGATAAGAAGTTAGCTCACTCCTTGAAGAGGTCCTTCAAACCACTGCAAAAGGAAATAAGAGAGGACACAAACAGATGGAAAAACATTCTATGCTCATGGTTAGGAAGAATCAATATCATGAAAATGGCAATACTGCCCAAAGTAATTTATAGATTCAATGCTATCCTCATCAAGCTACCATTGACCTTCTTAACAAACTGGAAAAAACCAGCTGGAGGCCTCATGCTACCTGACTCAAAACTATAATACAAGGTTACAGTAATCAAACAGCATGGTATTGGTACCAAAACAGAGATATACACCAATGGAACAGAACAGAGGCCTTGGAAGCAATGATCTACAACCATCTGATCTTTGACAAACCTGACAAACCTGACAAAAAAAGAGTTAATGGAGAAAGCATTCCCTGTTTAATAAATGGTGTTGGGAAAACTGGCTAGCCATGTGCAGAAAGCTGAAACTGGACCCCTTCCTTTCACTGTTACAAAAATTAACTCCAGATGGATTAAAGATTTAAACATAAGACCTAACACCATAAAAACCCTAGAAGAAAACCTAGGCAAGACCATTCAGGACACAGGCATATGCAAAGGCTTCATGACTAAAACACCAAAAGCAATGGCAATAAAAGCATAAAAGAGCAATTTCTCCCCGACTTTTTCATCATCTCCCTTCTTTCCTCAAAACACCCTGCTTGGAATACCACAAAACCAAGGAAGTTCACTGTAGATGACAGTCCTTGCCCAGTGAAGAACTCAGGGCACTTCTTTGAGTCATCTTGTTAAAGGCTGGCCCCAATTCTATTTGTATATGGCTCAACCTCAAACACCAGCTATAGATGAGTGCTTTAATTTAGGCTAATGAGTGGCATTTGTGGTCATCCTCCCTGGAGAAACCAGAAACTGCAGTTTCTGGCAAACAGACAGCTATGAGTGTATCTTTATTTAAAGGTTTTCCTTAGGAAAACTGAATGAGTCTTTTCATAGGAGAAAGTCCATTTTAAGAATCCAGGCAATCCTAATATACAAAGTAATTAAACTAATTAATTTGTTTAATTAGACAAAAGATGTATGCCCTACCCTCTGTGTATGAATATTTCTCTCTATTTTGGCAATCTCTTAGCCACAAAATTATAGAGAGTTAAAACATTTTTCCTTGTACAAAGTACCCATCTCTGTGAGAAGAAAATGGCAAAAATCTGGTGCTATTGATGATAAACTTTCTCCTTCTCTATAAATGAGATGAGAAATTCAGGGCAAAAGCTGCAAATTCATGCAGTGAATTCAGGCAGACAGATTTCAGATCTGCCCTGGTGGTCAACATGTGAGCTGTCTGTATTCAGGGTAAAACCTTTTTTCCTTCTTTTTTTTGGCAAGAATACTGAGTGTTGGATTATTTGCCTTGCATAGTTTTAATACTTGAACCAGCCTATATAGAATATCTTTGAACAGATATGCATTTATCTTCAAAGAATAAAGTACTCACTTGACTAAATAAAAGTATAGGGAGTAGCATAGCTTTCAACCCCTCCCAGTTGTTAGCTGGAGGGGTTGAAAGATTATAAAAATTTTCTTTATTCTGTTTTTACTACATTGGTAGAATAAGGAAATGTATGCTAACCCCTCTTAAAATGGGATCTTCCAGTGCAAATGTTCCTGGAATCTGTTTTGCTGTCCTGATTCTGAACTACAAAATCAGTTTCCCAGTAGACATACCTCTTACATGTTGCACAGAGACAGGGGATGGCTGGGAAGAACACCGACTTTGAATTCACATAGCCTCAGGTTTTCATCTAATGCCATAATTTATCAGTTATCCCTTTGGGAAAATTGCCTAACTAGTCTGATCATGTTTATCCATGTCTAAAATGAGCTAACCACCATTAGTTTTTTGGGGTATAACAACAACTTTGAAACTCTAACAGCAAAGCCTTCAGTGAGGAAGGAAAGAAAATGCTAATCCTAAGGAGAGACAGCTAAGGAGTTGGTAACCTGAGTGACTTGCTGCTCAGAGGGACATTTCCTCCACAGACCAAATGGTCAATCCTTGAAGTAAGAGGGAAGGACACTACTATTTACTGATCATCACTATGTACCAGAGAGCGTGGTAGGCAAAGTCACACAATGAATCTTACTTGTTTCTCACATGAACCCTAAGATAGCAATATTATTATCCTCACTACATAAAGGCTAAGTAAACTTAAGTACTTTATTCAAAGCCACAGAACACATAAGATGTAGAGCCAGGAATTAAAATTTTGTCTGTTTGACTCTAAAACTTATGGTTTTCCATAACACCAAACTGCATTAAATAATAACATTAATAAAAATAATAAATTTGTTCCTGCAGAGTTCAAAGAGAGGCTGGACCTCTTTTCTCAAAACCATCTTTTGGTAGCTTAGTCTTCCCCAGCTCAAGCCTGCCTTGCTGAGCGTCTGATTGCTACCTGTTGTCAGATACTCCTGACTTTGTACTTCTCCATCTTCCCAACTTGACCTTTGCCCAATCTTGTCTGAAATTTTGAGTCACCATTTTGACATCACCATCCCATTATTCCTTTTTGACTCATCATGTTGCCAGTTTTTGATTCTGTCAATTTATCCCTGGAAAAGTAAGACAACAAGGGAAAGCTTTGGGGTTCAGAGAAAGGGTTCTTCACCCTGCTCACTCATACTACTTTAGACCTCAGCTCTTTCAGGAGATCTTAAATAAGTACCCAGGCCAGCTTAGGGACTGCCTTATAAGTTCTCCAAATCTGTCCCTATCACAACCCTTAGCAATCTCTGTTAGATTCCACTCATTCACTTGATATATCTCCCACCAGAGTATGAGTTACTGAGGGAAAGTATATAACATACTCATCATTAGCTTCCCAGAACTTTAGATTGTACTTTACACACATACTAAGTGCTCAATAAATATTTGTTGAATAAATGAAAAGTTATTGCACAGCATTGAATGAAGCTCAACAAATATCACTATACCTTTAATAGTTTATTTCCACAAATTCTTGATGTAGCAAGTGAAGTTATCTTAAAATGGCTTTTGGTGATTCATTTTAAATAATTTTAAGACAGTAATCAAAATGTAGAATATTTTATAAACGACAACCCTTAAGGAGTTAAAAGCTAAGTTCAAATCTTTCTTCCAAAATCTATAATATACTGGCTTTTCCTTGCCATGAAACAAACACTGGTTAGATGATGATAATGTCCTTAGTTTAATTTGAAGCAATGTCCAATTTGTTATCATCATATTTCCTTCCCTCTTTCTATAATCTTAAAGCATTTTTATTTTACCACTGCCTGTCTTAGATATTCTCCAAGTAATAGATACAACATTATTCAAAGTTTATTCAAACTTATCTGAACCTTTTGGGGCTAGAAATTAGGTGGGAACTGTTTTCTTCAAAAGATTTCTAGTGCTTTTTGGCTTTAAAAGCCTGGAAATGCAACAAGAATAGCTTTTCTTGTGGTATTTTGGTTTCTACTCCCAACCAAAATCAGGAAGTGCAGAGATGCACAAAAATTAAAGGGGAAAAGTTAACTCAACTTTTTGAACCTCAAACATGATTCAGGTTCAATTTCAGTTTAAGGCAAAGGTTCAACTAAGATCTTGTTTTATCCAAACCACTTGGAACTTTCATTGAAATTACTGGTGGACTCACATATGGGATTCTTTTCTAAGGCAAGGAGAAAGGGAATTACTGGTATACAGAATCATTATGTCAATAGGCTCGTATGGTATTATCATTGTGATGAGGGACTTGTTCATAGGACAGTGACTGCCGTGAAAGCGGAGAGTCTTACCAGTGTACCTTTTATGTGTCAGAATTCATCTTTAAAAAAATATATATATATATACACACATATATATGTACAGGTGATCCTTAAATAATGTGGGGGTTAAGGGTGCTGACCCACTAAGCAGTCAAAAATTCACATGTAATTTTTTGCTCCCTAAATACTTAACTACCAATACCCTACTGTTGACCAGTGTGTGAGTCCTCTTATACACAAATTTTCTTCCACCTCTGCCACCTCTGAGGTAGCAAGACCAACCCCTAGCCTTCCGCTTCGTCCTCAGCCTGCTCAACGTGAAGATAACAAGAATGAAGACCTTCATGATGATTCACTTCCACTCAATAAAATAGTAAATACGTTTTCTCTTCCATATGATTTTCTTAATAATATTTTCCTTTCTCTAGCTCACTTTATTAAAAGAATAGAATATGTAATACAGCATACAAAATATGTATTAATTGACTGTTCATGTTAGGCTTCTGGTCAACAGTAGGGTCAATTGTGTGTATTTTATAAGCTAGGACTTTAAACAGATGAGTTTTGTCCAGATGAAATGTAATAAGTTTGCCACTTCTTTCTTTGGGAACACGAAGATAAAAGAAAGGTTGCTCTGTTACAACTCCTTTTTAGAACCAAAAGTTTGCTTTTGCATTGATTTGGTTGGTTAATGAGTCTTAAGAAGACTATGAGAATTCTGTCTAAATAGTGAAGAAGGGTGACTGAGATTTAAAAAGCAACTGTTCAAACCATTAGGATGGTGGAATGTTCAAATCCTTGAAGTAGTAGTTAATGTTTTGAGACTCTAAAATTTCAGTGAGCACCACATTTTATCCATATACAGCCAAGAACAGAAGAGCAGTAGGAATTTATGAATGGTCAAAAAAAATCTAAGTTTGCTATAAACTGCAAGTGGATAAAAGCAAGATTCAAACAGGAATAATTGGTAGCCTAAGACAAGTCTTCAGGTTAGATTTATTAGCTTCTCTATTACTGGAGAACAAGTCGACTACAGGAACCTATTTGCCTGTTGAATGCCAAAAGAAATAAGTAGGGCTATTTTTCTCCTAGAATGTGTCTACATGAAACAGGAGTTGGCAAAACAAGCCAACTTCGTCAATTCACTTGAGGAATGTTCATCAAAACATTTGCTTGCCACTGATTTTAGTGATTTCATTTTTTTAAATATTGTTTTACTTAAGTTCTGGGATACATGTGCAGAACGTGCAGGTTTGTTACATAGAAATATATGTGCCCTGGTGGTTTGTTGCACCCATCAACCTGTCATCTACATTAGATATTTCTCCTGATGCTATCTCTCCCCTAGGTCCCCACCCACTGACAGGCCCTAGTGTGTGATGTTCCCCTCCCTGTGTCCATATGTTCTCATTGTTCAACTCCTACTTATGAGTGAGAATATATGGTGTTTGGTTTTCTGGTCTTGTGTTAGTTTGCTGAGAATGATGGTTTTGAGCTTCATCCATGTCCCTGCAAAGGACATAAACTCATCCTTTTTTATGGCTGCATAGTGTTCCATGGTATATATGTGCCACATTTTCTTTATCCAGTCTATCATTGATGGGCATTTGGGTTGGTTCCAAATCTTTGCTATTATAAACAGTGCCACAATGAACATACATGTGCATGTATCTTTAGAACAGAATGATTTATAATCCTTTGGATATATGCCCAGTAATGGGATTGCTGGGTCAAATGGTATTTCTGGTTCTAGATCCTTGAGGAATTGCCACACTGTCTTCCGCAATGGTTGAACTAATTTACACTCCCACCAATAGTGTAAAAGTGTTCCTATTTCTCCACATTCTCTTCAGCATCAGTTGATTCCTGACTCAGTTGAATTGGTGTCACTTAGACTCTACCACAATCAAATGTCTACACAGAATGATGTTTTAATAAGAAACAAATTATCTATAATATGAATCGTAGTTGAGTTTTAATGACCTTGCAAAAGACTACTAATAAAATCACCTCAGTTGTCTATCAAATATTAGCCTCAGTACAATTGCCTCCTGAGCTTACTTTGTTATTACATTTCTGATATTTTGACCTTGGTCATTCTCCCAAAATATTTAAGTGATGTGTGTTTAAAGTATGTTCAGGTATTAATACCTTTTCTTTTATGGCTTTGAATAAGGGATTTCTATATGTATTATTTTGGATAATATATTAATACATTGATTGAAATGTTTTTCAGGACAAGATACAATGATATTGGATTGAATAGCTATAGAGGTTGTTTTGTCAAATATCACCAACATTTTCAGGATAGTTGTTGATAAAATGCTTAGTGATGTTCTGAGATATTTCTTCTAACTTAATATGTGAGACTATTTCAACAATCTTTGAACTACTACAGAATGTAAGGTGGATTATTAGCATCTACCTCCTCCTATTTGAAGATATAATAATAATATACCAAATTAAGTTTGAGAAAACCCACAGCAGTGAAAGGTTGAAAAATAAAAAGTGGCATAATTTTCTAGGGAGAAGATATTGGTATTGGTAGACAAGAGGAATCAGCCTGTTGTCTCTAGTTATCTATCACACAAAACTAAAGGTTTCTAATATATTTTGGGGTTTTCCTCAAATGCAGAGGGAGTGCCAGGTAAGCAGAGGATGTTCCTAAGAACATTTGAGTAGTGGAGAAATCAGATATATACTCTTCATTTCTTGAAGATTCCAGGTTCAGTCTGTGCAGCCATGCCTCTGAACTTGCTTTAAAAATTCCTTGTCTCTGGGTGGAAATGGAAAGTAGACCTTTTGTAGAACTGCCTTAAGTGCCAGGTTAAGAAGATGCCAGAACTTTTCAAGGAAAGTGGATTTCCCTTGTGTGTTCTGGCTTACAAAATCTGTCTCTTTCATTTCAGGAATAAAATTGTCACACCTTCTAAACAGCAGAATAAGCCAAACTCAATAATCAAAGCCTTGTTTTTCTGTAAATGGTCTTGAGCAGTCCCTTGAGAAAAAGTTGGGTAGAGAATATAAGTGTATAAATAAAGAACAAAAAGATTGGCTCATCTTACTACAGTAAATATTTCATCTGTCTACCTCTATTGTAAACCATATTTTTTAATTTAAGTTACAAAATACTGGTGGAGTAACAGGATCTTAGATGTCTCTTTATTCAGAATGGCAAGTAGAGAAAAAAACAACCAAGGGAATTTACCACCCATGTTTATATCAAAACTAACCAGAGATAATCCCTTAGAAGTAAAGGATATTTGGGTCTCTTAAGCAATCAACTTCTTTAGGGGACCTGGCCACAACACTGCCTATTTACACTGATGAGTTAGTTTATGATACTGACTCATCAGTAGAAATGACTAAGTATTCTTGGTTAGAATAGGCCAAATACCTATCCTTAAAAACCATTAAAAAGTATCAACACCTAATACTTCATATTGTGACTGCTCCAAATTATTCTGTCATTCAAACACGTATGTATGTTAAGTGCCTGTGTGCATATACATATATACACATATGCTATATATATATGTAATTATGTGGTGTGTATGTAAAGAGGTTGCCAGAATTGATCCATAGTGTTTCTAAAGAATTACTTACCTTTATCAGGAAGATATAAAAATGCAGTAAGTTAATATAAAGACAGAAACCTAAGGATTATATAAAACCAAATAAAATCACAGCAACTTAAAGAGACTTTTAATATTTAGCTTATCGTCTGCCATGTAAAATCAATATGTCTTACTTAAAAAAAAATTGAAATGGAGGAAATCAAAGGACGACCTTCTTTTGTTATTGGTGTTAATAACTGTGTCCCACTCCCCAACTATTTAGTACTATTAGAAGAGCACAGAAGACGAAATGTTTTTTAAGAGGACTGTGTTGAAAGGTTGTAATGAAGTTTAATATAGTTTTGGAAGCTCAGTTTCACTTATTTTCTCTGATGCATATATATATATGCATAAGATCAGGTTACTGAGAAAAAAAGAAATACACTGCTCTTTTCATTGCTGAGACAAAGAATGAATTACAGCTAAAATAAGGCAGGGAGACATGGAGAGGGAATGAGAGCAATTGGAGGAGTCAGGAGAGATAATTTAAGCCATTCTGGGATAGCAAGTGATTGATTTGCAGAGTCAGCCCTTCTCTCCTTTGGAAAGAACCATTTTCCAGACAGCTCAGTCAGTCCAGATTCCACCAATCCAAACTCTTCCCATGATGGCCTCTATTTCAAGACATCGCAATATATTACCTATGGTGAGCTCTGTCATCAACACAACTGTAAGCATCTCAAAACCCACATCGACTACATATTTGTGCTCAACTCATTGTTCTTAACTGTGAATAGATTCATTAAAATAAGAAACATCTTTTAAGATAGTTGTGATGCTTTTAAGGTAATGTGGCTTTAAGTTAGAGTACAGCTCAAAGGGCCACTTCTTAAGTGGTAAGTTGCTTGAAGACAAAGACTATGTCATGTATTTCTCTTTGATGGATCACTCTCTCTACAGAATCCATACTTAAAACATATTTGGTGAATAGAATTTAATCTTATTTTAATATTTAATTATTATAAAACAGCTATTCTTAACGTATAGTCTAGATTGTCTTAGACTCCCAAGACCTTTTCAGGGTCTTACAAGATTAAAAACTATTTTCAAGATAATGCTAAGACGTGATTTTCCTTTTCACTGAGTTGACATTTGCACTGATATTACAAAGGCAATGATGGGTAAAATTGTTTGTGCCTTAGCACAAATTAAAGCAGTGCCACCAATCTGTACAAGAAGTTATGTTGCTCATCCTCAAACATTTGGAACTGAAAAAAAAAAATCCAGTTTCACTTAAGAACAACATTGATAAAGCAGTAAATATTTTTAATTTTATGCAATTTTAAATCTGAACTCTTCAGAATTTCTGATACTTGATGAAATGGGATGTATTTCTGAAGGCTATATATTAGAGGTTGTATCAAATACAAGCTCCCTGATTTTTTGTTTTATGAACTGAACTTGCAACATTTTTTCTAGAACACCAATAAAAAATGACTTGAAAGACCACCTTGTAGACAAATTATTCAGACTTCAGCATTTGGAAGACAATCTCTCTAAAACAAAAAAAGCTCAAGTTATTAATAATTAAAAATAGAAGCTTAATCAATCTATTTTGATATAATAGAACAAGAAAAATTCATTGACATGGTTCGAGATTCCACACTGCAACTAACCTTTAAGAAACGTCCACTTGATGAGTTTGGGGATAGTATCAAATATTATTCATAATTATTTGAGAAGCTCAAAAAATACTCCTTTCAATTTTATGTACTTCAACTAAAACAACACATCACAACAGATTGAATCTAGAAGCAAATATGAGAAACCATCTGTCTTCTATAAAGCCAGAACTTTAAAAGGTGTGCCATGCTATGAAACACTAGTAATCTTCTCACTACTGTTTTCATTTTGAAGCTTAGCCAATTTTTTTAGAATTTCTAAAGTATGTGATTTATATTAATCTGTAACTGATTTATTATTTGTTTTAAAGCATCAATAAATATTTTAACTTTCTCAGTTTTAGTTTCCAATATGTGAAATACTATATAACCCACTTAAACAAAATGTCTTTGAGGTCCTCAAAAAATTTAAGAGTATTAGCAGGTCCTGAAATCAAAAGCCTTGAGAATTTCTGCTGTAGAGAAATGAGGAGACAGGTTTGACTTCCCAGAGAATCAGCAAATTGGGAATTATTAGCTTATTGGTAGAAAATTTAAAAAATACCTTGAAAAGTGATAAAGTTATCATAAGAATGTAATTACAATGTGTCAGATTTTGATATAACTTTGAACTCAAAATCTGGAAAAACAAATGATTTGAAACACCTAAGACACATGATAAAAGAAACCTATCTTTAAATAAAAGTAACAAGGCAGTCCAGAAAAGAGTCCATCAACCTCCTCCTTAATTCTCTACTCTTAAAAAATGGATTTAGAGATTATCTCTCCATTTTTTGTCACCTTGCAAATTTTGCAAATAAGCTGAGTTTTCAACCCTTATTTGTAAATTAGAAAGGCTTAAGCCATTGAATTTCAAAATATCAGTCTCTCTATTGTAAATATTGATGTTTCTTCAGATTTTCTCATTTGTTCCTTTCCTTCATTTATTCCCAACTATTTATTGTCCTCAATTGAATGACATGCGAAAAGTTAGTATAGTCAGTAACCACGGGATCACAAGCACTGGATAATGGGTAGCAGAGAATACACACAGAAATGAATAAGAGATGTCCTTTACACTTGAAATATTTCTGGGCAGTATTTGAATATAAATTCATTTTACTATTGTATTCAAGTTTTCCAAAATGATTGCCCCACACCCTTGAGATCTTCAATCTGAAGTGATGGAAAACCTTAGAGGAAGTGACTTCATAAAGTTCCTTGTCATTGATAAACTGGCATCATTCTCTTCTCTTGTACTTATACTTGGTCACCTCCCTGGTTCTTCACTCATACAAGAGGATGTGAGTTATTCACTGTGATTGTGAAAAGGAAATATATGTATCTAGTTTTCACATCCAAAATTTGTACTTACTTTAAATCAGTATGTAGTATTAGTGATTTTAGTTAAAACGACTCACAGACATAGTTGTTGGCAACCCTCATGCATACCTGGCAATGCTGCCTAAAAACCAAAATGCTGCTAAAGTCATGGTGCATTTCAGTCACACTCTGCTTCATATGGCACCAATAACAAATATTATTGGAAAGCATTTTCAAAGATCCCAGATTCTCTTAAGAATTCCAGGTCTAATTACCAAGTTGGCGGGACGGTCTAAAAACATTTACAGATATTCACTTATGACATAGTAATTACCAGCTGATTATGGAATAATTATACAGGGCCTTTTGCCTCTGTGTCTGGAAAATGAATACACTAACTACTGTATATTTTAGTGAGGGACAGGATGTGTGTAGGGTAGAGAAGCATCCCCTTTGCATTTCTTTTTCTTCTTTTTTTTTTTTTTTTTGCCTCGACAGACAACTCATAGCCAAGGATAATCATCTTTCTCTATTACAGCCGGAATCTTGTGTATAATCTGCTTGACTCTCCTTCTTTGTCTTCGAATTCTCCCTGTTTCATTCCATCAAAACCACAGAGGAGGAGAGGAGGCCAGTTTTAGCACCTCTGCCTCCACCATCACTACTGAGGAATGCTCCTACTCACTTTAACCCAGAAGCAGCAGTTGAATCTCAGGGCACCCGTGGAAATGGGCAAGATGCAGCTGGCTGTGAGCTATGTGCCACTCCCAGTAATCACCTATAAAATGAGTCAATCATCAATCGTCAATAGATAGAGAGAAGCTATTGAATTCTTCCTATATTCTTGGCTGAAATACTATTAATAAGTCAGTATCTTATACTTTCTCTTTCTAAAGATGGCTTGGTTAGTGATATTTTAGGAAAATTAAATTGAAATGGACACTTGGTATTGCTACAAGACCACAGGTAAGATGTTTCTTCTTTAGAGGACATTGCACAGTGGTAGAAGCAACTTAGACTTAGAATGTAGATAACAATGGGGTCAGATCCTAGCTACATGAGCTGAAGAAATGTATTTCGCCTTTCTAAATTTCAGTTTTCTTATCTGCAAATTGAGAATAAAAATATCTATTTTAGAGAGATGCTGTGATGATTAAATAAGTGAATGAGTAATAATGCCTTTTGATGAAGTTAGTTTCCTTTTCTTTCTTTTCAAATGGTAGTTCTCTGCTAGCTCTCTCCAAACACTCTGAAACACATACTATTACCTGAAATCTTTCTGCCACATGTAATGGATTACTCTGCCATAGTAAGACTCCAATAAGATGGTAATAATGATTTTAATACTATTCCTTGCCATAGGTTTTGCTGTATTTTAATAGAAGGAATCATTCCACTCCAGTTTAATTTAATTCAACAAATAGGTACTGAGTTTAAGCCAAATTTTAAAAAATTCACACAGTGCTTGCTCTTTGTAAACATACAAGAGGGGAGAAATAATCAACATGTACACAAACCACAATAATGGGTGATGGAACACGGAAGTGACTCAAGACATGTACACATGGTGCTAGAAGAGTTCTGGAAAAACAGATGCCTGTGAACAAATGTGAGCCTAAAGGAACTAATCCTTCAAGATGGATCCCAAGTGCCTAACTGGGCCTAAATTTAAAATAGAGCCAAGAGACCATAATCTGCTAACTAGAGGTCATGCATGCACTCAGTTCTTTGAAAACCTGCAACCTTTTCAACTTTGGGGCTTTCAGAGCTTGTCTGCCACAACCATCAGAGCTCAGCTGCAACAACAAATCAGAACTAAGCAAGTTTCAATCATTCATTTGCATAAGAAAACCTGATTGGAACATGGACAGAAATTTTTGCTATAAAATATAAACCCTTTCTTTGTTCTGTAGATGGAACTCTCAATTTACCCTGAAGGCTGCATCTCACTGTTTGGAAACTAACTATTCATTGGAATAAAGTCTCTTTCCTCAAAATTCCTTTTCAGAGAACTTTTGTTCACATGCCTTAACATGTGCCTTTATGTAACTCCTCAATCACAAGTGCCTTTGAGTGTTTTAACCTGCCATAAACACATCTACAGAGCTAGGATTCTTGGTGACTCCGTGACACTTCATTGGAAGTTTTGCAGGCTGGTCAACGTGGTAGGATTCCCCTGTAACATTTGACTCCATTGTTAGCACTCAGAAAATGTGTGGAAAACCTGAGTTCAAATTTTAATACATGTTTACACAATGCTATAGACCTTTATCCTCTCTTAGAGTCAAAATAGCTTGTCTTTTATTGAATTTAGAGGGAAAAAAATTGGTAAATCTATATTGCTCCATAAACAGTATGGTACAAAGTCTGTTGCAATTCTGTGCAATTTTCTGTAATCATGTGTACTTAAGTGAAATTTACATTATCATTATGAGCTGCACTATGGAAATGATTCTTTTAGCCTACAGCTATTAGAACCATCCTGGTGCCAGGACTAAGTTGTCAGCACCAGGGGAAGCAATTTCATCGTGTTTCTTCTTACATGGACACACAGCTCCTATTAGCACATATGCCTCTTTTTGTTTTTCTTCTCCAGCTCATGGAGTTTGCCTCTGAGTGGAAATGAAAACAATTTCAAGAATGAAAAGTTTCAGCTTGTTGCTAAAAATATCCCCAATCATCAGCAGGGGAGGCAATTCCTCAGCCACTTGCAACAAAGATGACCTCTTTGCCAGGCTTAGCCTACAGCAGGAGGTGTCTACTCCTGAGCTCCTTTTACATGGGCTCAAAAATAAACAGCCAGTTCCTCTGGCTGGCCTCCCTCCTTGAATGGAGGCAGGGAACATCTGTACAAGGAAACCTTTTCCCACCAAGCTAGAGGCCAATCCTAACCAAGTCAATTGAAGCATCTGAGATACATTAAAACATAAATAGCTTTTAATTACAGGTGCCCAAGTGGCCCAACCTTAATGTCTCTCAAACCTGAGGACTTAGCACATTGAGGGCATCATATTACAAAGGTGTGACGGTGCATCATATTACTGTTTAAAAATAAAATCAAAGACTATTTTTTTTCACATAAACCTCTACCTTGAATATACATCTCTCCCAAGGTCACAGGAATATATTTCCATATTATAAGTCACCAAGTAAGCAAAAACTTGGAAACGAATGCCAAGTCCAGGAAAATTCACACATAAAATTCCCTCCTATATTTAAGGCTGACAGTGAAATTTACATGGCTGAACCTGCACTCTGAAAAATTGAAGCCACATGGTGTCCTTACACCCAGGTACCATTAGCATATAAGAAGAAAAGCCAAATTTTCTTTTGCAAATAGAGAAATTGAGGCAAAACAGCGTAAGGAACTGATAGTAGAGTTAGAATTATCACCCAGAGATCACTTCCTTAATCTCTCCAAGCTGGTAGGTAAATTTACCTCCAATAGTAGAGCTATGGGGTTCACAGGATCACAAGACATCGATTCAGATGTGCAAACCTTTTAATATTTTTCCATAAAGTAATATATGTACTTTGAACCCCCTTCAACCTGGTCTTAGGAAATGTAATCTTGATCAATTGCAGGTGTATCCAGTTGTATTCCAATTTTCAATATCACATCTGATCATTTACCATGAAAAATATTTGGCCATATCCACATCTTTGAGGGAGTCTTAGGGACTCTGGGAGGACACCTAAGGTCTATTTCACTTAAATACACCATGCAACAATTTTAATTCCTCTCTCCTATGCATGATGGAGTAGAGAAGTTGGGAGCTTGCCTATCTTCCACCCCTGGAGATTACTTTGGAAAGTGAGGGCATAGCAGGATGAAAGTTTGGCTCGGAGAACAGCATAAGTAACTTACTCTCTTTCTGCCTGTCCAGATCTTCTTTCCTTTACCCAAACTTAAAGGATCTTGTTCTAATCTGAGGAGTTGATAAAAGAGATGAAGAGAACTAGTTCTGCCTAAACACATGTTTTCAGATATTTAAATTAATACTTCCAATATTGCTCTGCCACAGCAAAATAGATTAAAGGTTATTAAATAAAAATCAAATATTTTTACTGTTCTCTGTTTCTTCAAGGAGTAAATAGATTTTTATTTAATAGTCTTTAGTCTATCAAGAACTAATTTCATAAAACTCTACAGAAAAGTAAGGAGACAAAGCAGTGGAAGATGAATTTCTTAAGAGCTCAGAGACTATTATTTTGATTTGAGAAATGTTCTTAGTATTCTAGTTTTTTTTTTCTTTATTTATCTTTTTTCTCCTTCCTTGCTCTTTTTTTTTTTTTTTTTGATAGGGCCTTGCTCTGTCACTCAGGTTGGAGTATAGTGACACAATCATACACACTGCAGCCTCCAACTCATGGACTCAAGTGATTCTCCCACCTCAGCCTGCCAAATAGCTATGCTACAAGCATACACTACCACACCTTGCTCATTTAATTTTTTTTTATAGACAGGGTCTCACTGTGTTGTCCAGGCTGGTCCCAAACTCCAGGACTCAAGTGATCCTCCCACTTCAGCCACCCAACTAGCTAGGACTATAGGCATGAACCACCACACCTCGTTCACCTTTTAATTTTTAATTTAAATTTTTCTTTTATAGACAGGGTCTCACTATGTTGCCCAGGCTGGTCTCAAACTCCTGGCCTCAAGCAATCCACCCGCCTCAGCCTCTCGAAGTGCTGGGGTTATAGGCATGAGCCCCTGTACCTGGCCCTTCTTTTTCTTTTTAACAAGCTGTATACAAATGGGCATTGTATTTATAGAGGGACTTGTCTAGATGCTTTTTCACAGTCTCACAACTCCTCATTTATCTGAGCTTTCTTATCATTGCTCATCTCATGCTATCCCTGCTTTCCCTTCTATTCGGGTTATTAACCTTATTGTGCTTTACCAATAGCTAATTTTTCCCTTCTCTGTCCCCATACTTCACAATCTTTTTGCTTCATAAAAGATGATATCACTTAATCTGGAACTAAGTGATAAATGGATAACTACTGGTCCCAGTCAGCTACTCTCACCGTGACGGAGCTGATATGTTAGGTAACTCAAATTATTTTATGCAACACTCCTGGACCTCAGCAAACTAATCAGGAAGACTTGATAAAGGCAAGTCCTCACTATGCATCAAATCTTGCTCCTCCTGCATGTCCTCCGTGAATCACGCATCAACTATTCTAGCCTATTATTGATCTCCCCATTTTACAATGTCTTAAAAAAGAGCACTTCAAAGATTGCCTATCAAACTTCCTTTAGCCCTCAGTCCTATACTATCTTATACTGTTCTGTTAGTTTGAAATATGTTATTGTTCTTTTAGCAATATTGGAAGAAGCTTGAGTGTATAAGTCATATTTTCCAGAAATAAGACCACTTCCAAATCACTCAAATTCCAGGCTGAAAGCATTATAGTTACTCAAAAATAACATAGGAAAATCATAATGCATGATGGAAATAACATGGGCAGTCACATACACAAAAAGTTAAGCCCTTCATCCACCCATTAACCATATAAATTTGGCAAAGTCTAATTGTAAACATTGTGAGATTTAAAGAAGATGATAGCATAAAGATACCTAGGAAAGATACCTACAAACTGAATAAATTAATGAATGAAAGAATTCCATGAAAAGATGTAAAAGATGCTAAAGAATGAGCCAGATCAGAAAAAAAAAAGAGAAGAAATGTGAAAGAAGGAAAACAGCCAGAATCTACAAAGGTCAGAAGTAGGTGAGAACACAGTATATTATGAAACTGGCAGGTGGTCAGTTTAACTCAATGTTAGAGTAAAAGTAGACAGGACTTCCACTTTTGGCCAAGGTAGACTAACAAAGACCAGATGTACCCTCCTGCCTCAATAAAATAACTAGACTAAATGTATGAAATGATATTTTCAAAACACTGTCTGGATATACGCAATGAAGGACAATGATCCCTAAGAAATGGGAAGCATATGAAGTGAATACTATTTTGTCCAGGCTTAGGTCTTAGTGAGTTTACATGCCTTGCAGCCAGGAGAGAGAACTCCAGCAGAATCCAACAAACTCCCTAAGTTGAGGACACAGGGCTGAGGGTCTGAGAAAACCACAATGGCTAGAGTTAGCAGAACCGAGTACTGGAGAAGTAAGTGCTGCATTGAGCAAGAACTACAAATATTTGCAGAGGGTCTTGCTGGAATCGTCAGCAGAGTTTATAGATCACCACATTCATGTAAGAAAATAATCTAAAGCCAGGGAAAGAATCATCCAAAAAGGATTAAAGAGAATAGTACCCAGTACTCATGTAAGGCCAGGAACATTGCTTGTTCCCACCAGCCAGACTGGAAAACCTCAGAGCTCACAGGGCATTGGTAAGAACACTCAGAAGGGTCTTGCCTCAGAAGTGGAGAATAATTTGGCATAGACAATGCAGCACTCTGGTCCCACCTAACAAACCTTAAAAGCAAAACCCAAAGGATATAACCGTTTCCAAGTAACAAAACTGCATCCAAAAACAAAGCACAAGAACAAAGGCAAAATTCAACAGCCTGGAATTCAATAAAACATTAGTCCTACCCAGAAGAATTCAAAACTATTTATGTATATACTCCACCCTCAAGGAGGGTGCTCCCCACCCCTTACACATGGACTATGCATAGTGACTTCCTTCAAAAGAGCAGAGTATGAAAATGAGGAGGAAGATAACTTTACAGTGGAGAAAGGTGAAAAACATTGCCTCAGGCAGGTGATCAAGGTTAACATCAATAATAATAAATCATGTCAGTAATATGTACTCCTTGATATGATGTTATGAGAATAGCAGTTTTCCTCTCAAAAACACATAATCCCAGTTTAATCATGAGAAAAACATCAGAAAAATGTCAGTTGAGGGACATTCTACAAAATACCTGACTTGTACTCCTCAAACCTATCAAGGGTTATCAAAAACAGGAAAAGTCTGAGAAATTGTCATAGCCAAAAATAGCCTAAGGTCATGCGACTGATGAATGTGATATGGTATCCTAGATACCACTACTAGGGTCAGAAAAAAGACACTGTATAAAAACTAAGGAAATCTGAATAAATTATGGAATTTAGTTAGTAATAATATATCAGTATTAGTTCATTAATTATCACAAATATGCAATACTGATGTAAGATGACAGTAGGGTAAATTTAGTGTGGGGTATGTGGCAATTCTCTGTCCCATCTTCACAGTTTTTCTGTAAACCTAAAACAGTCCTAAAATTGGAAGACTTTGTAAAATAAAATAGAATCGTAAAAAAATGTCCAGGCATCTGAAGAAGCAGGGAAATCGGATCCTCAACATGGAGAAAAAAATAAACCAATTAAAACTGATCCATAACTAATACAGATGTTATTGTTAACAGGTAAGAACACTAATTGAATTCCATGTGTTCAAAAAGTATGTAGAGGCATGGAAAATAACAAATTAAGATAACAAATTGAATTCTATGTGTTCAAAAAGTACGTAGAGGTGAAGATAACAAAACAATCCTCAGATTTCCACAGTTGAAAACAACAATGTCTGAGATGAGAAATTCATTGGATACAATTAAAGGCAAATTAGATGTTGCCAAAGAAAAGTGGAAGACATAGCAATAGAAACTATCTTTTACAAAAGAGAGACAGATAATTTTAGAAAATTAACAAAGTATAACTGAGCTGTGAGATAACTTCAAATACCCTACCATGCATGTAACTACAGTCTTCATGAAAGGAGACCAGGAAAAAAAATTGAAAAAGTTAACAGCAAATTTTGTTTTTAAATTTAATGGGAACTATAATCCCATAGATCCAGGAAACTCAATAAATACAAAGCACAAAAAATGTAAAGAAAGCTACACTAAATCGTGTTAAAATCAAACTGTTGAAAATCAGTGATAAAGAGAAAACTTCAAAAATAGCCAGAGTGTAAAGATACATTAACACTGAAAAAAAAAGGATGGCAGATGTTCCATCAGAAACAATGCAAGCAAGACGACAGCAAGCAACATCTTTAAAATAGTCTAACAAAAGCCTGCCAACCTAGAATTCTATATCCAGTGTGCAACTTTCAGAAATATAAACAAATACTTTTTCAGACAACAAAAGCTGAGAGACTTTATTACAAGGAGATCTGTGCTATAAGAGATATACAAGAAAATTCTTTAGGCAAAAGAAATATGATACCAGACTTGGACCTTCATAAAGACAAGATGATTTTCAAATATGATTGAAATGAATGTAAATATTTTAAAATACATTTTTCTTATTTTTAGTCTTTTTAACAAATAATTGATTTAGAGTGGTTTTGGATAATGAGTAGAAAGTTATGTCAGTGGAACAGGAGAGAGAGTCCAGAAAAAGATCTAGATACTTATGATAAATTAATTGTAACAGAGATACAAATTAAATTAAATGAAAAAACATTTTTTAGCAAATAGCACTAAACTGAACAGCCATATGCAAAACAACGAATCTCAACCATACCATGTACATTATTTAAAAATTAACTTAAAATGGGTTATAACCTATGTGACAAACAACAGAATTTCCAGAAGAAAACACAGGAAAATACTTTTGTCTTTTGGTTAGGCAATGAGTTATTAAATGCAACAACAAAAAAGCACAATCTTTAAAATAAAAATAATGATGAATTAGATTTCATTAAAATTAAAATGCTTTGTTCTTTGAAACACGCTGTCAAGAGGTTGAAAAGATGAGCCAGAGGCTACAAGAAAATGAGTGCAAAATACTTGTCTGACAAATAATATATATTCAGAATATATAAAGAACTTTAAAATTATAAAAATAAAAAGAAAATGAATAACTAAAGGCAAAAAAATTTGGATGCTTCTCCAAAGAAAATACAGAATGGGAAAAAAAACTACATGACAAAATACTCAACACCTTTCATCATTAACAAAATGCAAATTAGAACCACAATAAGATATCACCACTCACCTAGTACAATAGCTTAAAAAAAAAACAAAAAACTGATGGAACCAAATGCTGGTGAGAGAGTAGAGAGACTGAAATTCTTAGATATTGCCAGTGAGAATGTGAAATGGTACAGTGACTTTGGGAAGCAGATTGGAAGTTTCCTGTAAAATTAAGCATACATTTACCATGTAACCCAGGAATCCCACTCCTAGTTATTTACCTAAATGAAATTAAATTTATAAAACTATATGTATGCAAATGTTAATAACTTTAGTTATAATCATCCAAAACTGGAAACAACTCCAATCTTTTTCAACATGAATGTGAATGAACTGTGGTATAGTTATACTGTAG